CATGATGTCGATAGCGGTAAGAGCATAGGAGTGAGTTGTGTACGAACTACCTGGAGCTGTTACCTGTCATATCCATGCGCATGTGGCAGTAAGCGGATTGTCGCGGGATGCCCGATGATGACGCCTTTCAACCCTTATCAGTTGCTGTCACTTAGTGTCACCCGTCAGTGGGTTCCCGCCCTCCTCCCCCTATACCACTTCTTTGAACCAAGGTCCCACAGACCCTGCAACCTGCCCTACAAAGTTGGTGACCCTCCGCATCTAAGGCCCTTATCGAATCTTATCAGATGTTATCAGCTTCTGTCACATATACCAATCATGTCCACTTCCCTTACCCTATACCACATCTCGAAACGTCCCGCGGTCGCTGCAACCTGGGCTAAGAACTCGGTGACACCCTCTAGGGTCCCTTATCGGATCTTATCAGAGTTATCAGCTCCTGTTAGACACCACCCTAGCGTGTATATCACTTCTTGAAATCATGGTCCCGCAGCTGCTGCAACTCGCGAAACGATTTCGGTCACCCTCACCATCTAAGCCCCTTATCGAATCTTATCAGGTGTTATCACCTCCTGTCATCCCACCAAAAGTGTTCCCGTCCTGCCATGTATATCACTTCTTGGAACTGTCATCCTATCTTTTCTGCGACGCTCGCTTCATGACAGACAGACAGACGCACACACAAAGACATGACAAACACACACAGACATACTTAGTGGATTATATATAGCAGGATAGGGAAGCGCATGTCGATCTGATGGCACCATAATAGAATAATGATTAACAATAATTTTATCAAAAAAAATATAAGGGGTGGGGGAGGGTCAATTGTAGGCAGTTTAATTCCCCTTCTGGCACGCACGGCACAACATTGTGATTTGTGGAATAGCGGTGTCAGTAGAAACCTTCTGAAGTTCCTCATCTCTCATCTGCCCTCCCCCCTGCTGATAGGATTCTCCCGACGATTCCATACCCTGTTCGTATGGGCTGCATTTACATGGGAAACTAAACGAAAAATGAGGCACTGCACTCATACCTGCTTGTCTGCGCCCTCTCACTGAGAAAGGATTCGAGGTAATCTTCTCGTTGGAAATTTCGGAAATGAAAAAAGCAGTACGGTGGTGTGTGAAATGATGAAAATGAAATGAGTACGATGGTCGTGTATAACACTCAGGTACATGGTGCGTTCTGGAGCATACCGTCGTACCTTGGGGATCCCCAGCTAAGGAGGTCGTGCTTGGTCGCTAAAGAGAGAGGGGTCGTGTTTGCCACTCAGGAAAATGTTTTTGGTTGATGACTTTTTTCAATTTACCCGTTTAAAGTGTGCTATCCGGTACACAGGGGTTCTGGAAAGGATGACCGGAAAACTGAAGGAAGTTGGGAGAATCTAGGAAAATAGTAAGTAAGATGGAAGCTGATGGAGCGGGTCGTACCACAGAAAGATCAGGTGGGCGTTTTGCAAAACTTTTCCCCCAACGAGAGAATGTCCCCTGGTCTCAAAAGATGTGCTACCCAGATAGCGACACGTCAAGACATGATGTCGCGTCATCTGTGCGTACCTCCAACTCCTCCACCCCTCCCCATCTCCCCCAACAACCTTTGCGCCGCCCTTTTTCTGTACAGAATGTCCCGAAGCATTCACGAGTAGTTGTTCTTACTTAGTTTTGCCTTTTCAAAGTGTACTGAATTTAAGTATGAAATTCATGATTAATGAACGGTGGTACCTAACTATGTGACTAAGGGAATAAATAAGTGAGTAAATAAGTGACTATCTGGTCTGGATAAATAAAGTAGCAGACAAGTAACAAATAGTGAAAAGTCAACGAGCTGTGATGAAATCATGGGATTCATTGTATGTTTAGGGTCGTTATCTTGCTCAAATACTGCTATCTTTTGTGGGGTGAACCAACTCGAGCTGTGATAACGGCCATTTAGTTCAACCATCCCATAAAAAAACGGCAAAAAGGCGTGAATCGTGTCGAGTGCAGCATTAATTCGGTCACGTTCGCAAAACCGATCATTTTCTCCAGGTTACGGGGTGCAGCGAAATTACGTGAGCAGGAAATCATAGCAAAAGATAAGGCAATAGGATGAGGGTTTGTTCAGCAGCAGATTACAAACAAAAGAGTTAAAGGCACAGTTCGCGACCGCAAATTGCGGGAAACGGAACTCAGGCACAAAAAAGTGCTAAGTATCTGATTAGCGGAGAAAAGCAGCAGAAAAAGCAGTCCGAAATGTTATAGAGAAAGATAACATAGTGGCTACTAGCTAGTAGCTAGCAGCCGGTGAGGGTCGGCATGGGCCTAAGGGGTGTCCATGGGCCTAATTAGTCAGCTTCTAGCGGAGTTCTTGCCGTTTTCACATTTTGAAAGTAGCGCAGCCTCAAAAATCGCCTTCCGGATCGTCCGACACATTTGAGAGGTCATAGCCTTATTTTATCGCGGAATGTGCCTTTAAGAATTGCGCTGCTTTATTATGGTTCGGGTCACCTATCCGACTACGGCCCAGGACAGGACCTGTACCAGCCATTTCCTACACTAAAAAAATCATTTCCCTTGCTCCCGTAAAGAAAGCCTTCTCCACAAGACAACCTTGCCCAACCTGAACTTTTCAGAAGAACGTATTGCAATGGAGGGGAAGACCTTTCGAAGGGCTTCTCTCCCACGATTCAGGACCCTCTATACCACGTTCGTAGACCTGTGGCTGTCACGTTTGAAGAACAAGGAGAAATCCTAAGAGAAAAAACTGCGGGTCGTTTGGTCGCTGAAAGGAAGGTTGTACTTGTCTTATGTGAGGAATCTTGTGGGATATCCTCAGATGCAGTTCAGGTGGAGGTGCAGGTTTTCCCGTTTTACATCCCCCCTCCCACCTCGAAGGCACTTTTTGGGGAAATTGGAGAATTTTGGGTACAACAAAAACGGAGTGGCAGGAAGTTGGGAGAATACACGGAGATGGTGGGTATGAAGGTTGGTTTCCGCGAGACGAAATTCGCACTCTAATTCTGAATGGAACTGGAACGTGTGGCACATTCTAGGAAGGGAATGGCCGACACCAGAAGGCTTGCCCATTTCGTGCGAACTGAGCGAATTTGTAGACGACTGCTCGTGAAGTATTTACAGAACAATGCGTTCAGCCCAAGGCTGCAAAGCCGTCGCTTGCAGAAATTTAATTTCGAAATTGAAAATTTAATCGTCGCTTTTGATACGAAAAAGAATGATGACCTATAATTTGGTGCTTGACGTCATTCAGTATTCAATTATTCCTCGGAAGTCGCTTGGAACATGGGTGGATGGAGGATGTCTTTGGAACAAAGAGACTATGAGGAGGAATCGCGACCTTTCGGTAAAGTGAAAAAATAGGAGAAATGGGGGGAGGAGGGAAGGGAGACATTTTGCACCTTTGCTACTTTCCACCGACGCTTACAGAGCTATATGAGCTCACAAGAATTGGCAGGTTTTACCATGGCTCGGCGAGCTTGCTCCAGCTTTACAGAAGTTTACATGTTTCACCGGTGTAAGACTTGTAAACAGGAGTGAAGCAGCGAAAGTGCTAAATGCCCCCCCCCGTCACCGGAGCCGAACTACGGAGCAACCCATTACTTAGGGTTGTTGGGTTTGGATGAAGGGTAGAGATGGTCGGCAACGAGACCACGATAGTGGAGTTAGCGAGTGTAAGGGTAAAGCAGCAGAGCGCCAAAATCTTTTCACTTTTTCGAACAAGTAACGGACTTCTCTAACATCCTTAGTTTCAGACGTGTGAAAGGAAGAGCAGCTTATTCTTGCAGCGCACTTTCCCGACCCAAAGCAGTGGACGTGCAACGGAGGAAATTTTCTTAAATTCGACTTCCTCCCCAAATTTCCTCCTTCGCTGCAACCCCTCTGACATCTTACTTATGTTTCCTCCAAATTTTTTCCTGATATTACAGTCGATAGGGGAGGGGGCGAGGGGGTACACTTCTCCGACTAACAATCATGAACTGAAGTTTTGCCTCTCTACCGAAACATTCCCAGCACAAGGACGGCCCCACCTGCGCTTATTCCTCGCTCTAATCAAGTATTAGGCCTGATGGAGACCGCTTCTTGTCTGCAAGACTCCATCGACTCTGGTGGTCTGCGCTCTGAACGCAAGACTTTTTGGAGGAGGGATAACTAGGCATAGCGGTGTGAACCCCCTAACTACATTATAGTGCATTCATACTTGCGATCCACTTGGTTTTCCTGAGCTGAGCGAGCAATCAGCTCCTCAATAGTGTATGAAATGCGCAGTACTTCCCATGAAAGGTCAGCGAACCTGCCCGACCATTCACACAAAGGCGTTTTGACAAGTTGCGCGTGCGTCGCATGATGTGGTACGCGCGTTGCACAACATATCACATAACTAGCGACATTACCAAAAAGCAAGCGTACCCTATTCCCTCCTTATTGTTGCCCGTCCTCTGCATGTTGAAAGGTTAGAGCTGACAATAATATTTCCTGATAGCTTTGGAAGACCGACAACCCAGCACTGCTTTTCCTCCCTCAGAATTTTCGGCGCGGTCTTTCTTACTCCTATCATCGTATTTTTTATTGTTACTTAAAGGGGTTCTCATGAGTCTTTAATATCGCGGTATCCTGACGAACTCTCGTGAACTAAATCAGTCTTTTTCATTGTATAATTCATGTTTTCTTGGAAATGTAAATATATGTTGAAATCATCGAAGCTAATAGTTTAAGACTCGTTTCGCCCTAAATTCTATATATATATATTTGGTCTGTTGAATGCTCAAAAACTAGGCAGATAATTGGAACTTGTGTGCCGTAGGCAGCTCCTCGACCCAGCGCTGTCCGAGGGCATTGAAATCCACCTGGAAAATTAACTCAACAATATAAAGTGAATTATGAAATACGACAATGGACCTGGCCGGGCAGACTTCTCACGCCAATCAGTAGGCAGTAGTTATGCTGTTATATCTGGAGTGCCTCAAAAAATGCCTGTTTTGCTGTACAGTTCCGATTTCAGAAATGACTCGACATGGGAAGAATTGTACAGCTTCATCAGTTTATTCATACCATGAACGAAAGCGAGATGCAAAAGTGAGTGGATATGGTACCCTTCATGCACGATTGGGGGCTGATTCTCATCAAAGAATTGTCGACTCGCTTGGTTCCCTTACAAGCTGCAACCGTTGCAAGTCCAAGTTCTATTCTACGACTATTTCATGGAAAAAAAAACACTAATAAGTAGTTACTTACAATTCGATGATATGTTACTCCTCTAATTCTTACGACCATACTCTTTTCCACGCTATCATAAACTGCACAAAGCTGTTAGCTTTTTGATCATCATATCCGTGATTTTAATGTGTCTTTTAAAAATGAAATGCCAATGTTTTTACTAAGAAGCGTCCATACTTCGCGATTCGATCGCCTGGATCACGCTATCAGACGCGAAATATGAACACGCTCTAATCCAGTTTTTGATTAGTCAACAAAATGACTCCATGGTACATACGCCCACTCTACAAGAAAATTGGGCACGTTCCGCACCAACCATTTGGAATTTTGCGCTTCTCTCTTGGTCAAATCAAATCCCATCAAAAAATTGGTTTTAATAGAATTCTTTTGCTTTTAACGGTTTTTGAAGAGTTATGATAATTATAGGCACTCTGGGGATTCGAGGCCTAGTAGGTGGTATTCCCTTCCTTAAAAAGGGAATCGTGATATCTATATTATACCAAATATCTGCTACTTGGGAGGAATTCATCTTTGAGGTATTACGGGACGCGCTTATTAGATGCTAGTCTTTTGAATAGTCTTTATTATTCGTTATAGTAAAGACTCTAGTCCAAAATGGAACCAGGAAAAAAATCTGCACTTTGCAGCGCTTTATGGCCGAGTATCTTCCTTACTAGAGTGTCATTTCCCAACCTTCGGACGCATAACCTCATTTTGCCAGGAATCCAGTGATAACACCTGGTGGGTACCTTTTTGATCGCGAAGCAATATTGGAGTATATTCTTGCACAGAAGAAAGATATCGCTAAACGGACAAAGGAATGGGAGAAACAGAACGCGTTGAACGAGGAAGAGTTGAGAAAGGTTTGTTAGTTTTTTTTGGACCTGAAGTAACATCTAACATTAAGTTTATTCCTAAATAAAATGCTTTTGTCTATAACTGGATTCCTTTCTTGCATACTTAACACGTTCGCGGCGGCGTGTACTCCCGGGAGTACACGCGCCTATTCGCTCGTTTTTGGTATTTTCTTTTCCTTTTTCACTAAGAATTGGATACAGATAATCAAACAAACAATCGAGAAACAATATTCACACATTATTAGAGGCGTATACACCCGAAAAAACACTTAAAAACTTTTCTCTTCGGGCGATCGTGTATTCCCAGGAGTACGCGCGCCTCTTCGCTCGATTTTGCTATATATTTTCTTTTTTGCTTTTTGCTGATAATTATAAACAGATAATAAAAGAAACAACAGATAAATAATATCCACACATCAAGAGAGGCGTGTACTCCCGGAAAAACATGCAAAAACTTTTCTTTTTTTGGCCAATGTCGTACTCACAGAAGTACACGCGACATTTCACTGGTTTTCTTATGACTTTTATTCTATTCTCGCTTACTGCAGTTTTTATAAAATAATGAAATAGGCGCATTATGAATAAATCAGAGGATTATTGATTTTATTAAGAGGTTTACTTATAAGCATAAACATTAGATAACAACACATTTATATTAATTTAATTAGATGCTCTAGAATGTTGCCTGCCGCGAACGCGTCGTTCGAGAAACACGTTGAGTTTTTGGCGAAAACGTCGCCGCCGGCGCCGCCTGCGAATCGTCCGTTAATAAGGACTACGTTTCCCTTTACATAGCCTGTTAGGGCTGTTCCGTAGCTTGTCATGTTATACTGCTTTCTAAATACTATGGTGCCAAGGGGATAAAATGCTAACGTGAAGAACTAATTATAATAATTCCCTTCGATTTGATACTGCTGAATCTCAGCACGGTTGATCGATGTGGCCTTTGCAAAGTTACTATCACAGCATTGAATTCGAAGTGTACAGGAAAACAACGGTTCAGTCGAAAAGCAGGCAATATTTTTTGCTTTCAGGCCCAAAAATCGGATCAGGATGCTGCAGTGCGAAAGTTCGATGAAGTCGAAGGCACCCCCGCACACCCAGGTTATAAAATTAGTGCTGATGAAGCACGAGAAGGAAACTCTAACCCTTTGGTAATACTTGCACAACCATTATAATAAGCTGTGATCATTTAATATCTGCTTCTGTAGAAACGACCAGGTAGCGCAATCACGGTCCAGCCTCCTCAGAAAGTGAAGGCACTGGGAATCGAAGGCGATATCTCGAATATGAAAGGAGAGAGGTCAGTTTTGGTTAGCGAAATCTCTTTTAATGAGGGCCAACTAGCTAATTTCATTTATAAACTGTACGTTTTGATCCCCGGGTATATGTGTCCTGATTCTCTCCGATCTCCCACTGTTTATCTGATAATTTGCGCTGAGTTTACTAGTTAGTTTACTGCACTTGGTACTAGTTTGGTTCATTGCTAAGGAGCCTCAAAATTCCACAGCGTACAGAGTTTGGAGAAAAAGCGCTAGATTTGAACTCTCCATCAGAACTCACTGTATGCTTCCCGTTAGCCATGGGAAGAACTCCATGCAGTGATCCGATCAGCATGAGGTGCGGGTTCGAGTCCCGCCTGAGGTCCGATCTCGCCGTCAACTCAGCATCCTTTTGAATCCCATACTGTTTGATGCATGGTGGATGTGCAGCTTATCCTGAAATCACACCAACATTGACTTTGTTATATCAGCAAGTTCTATGTTTCGGATTTTCAACTGTTTCAGAAGCAAACAGTTACCAAGTTTCTGGATCCCCGAACTTAATCCCACGGCAAGCGCGTCAAAATTGGAGAAACCGGTATGTTTATTGGATGTACCGCCTTTTTGGAATTTCCGAAAATTTACTTGTTCTACAGTTGTTATTTGCCAGTTTTTATAGTCACAAAAAGTGCTATGCCCTTTGTCTGGAAAGCCTTTAAAGATGAAAGATCTCATGGAAGTCAAATTTACGGTAATGCCTAGTGATGACGAAAAGAAGAGTCTTATTGCAGCGAAGGTGCGTTCCCTAGAGAATCTTCTCTTTTAGATGTAGAAGCTATTTTCCTCTGTATTTGCAGTGTATTTTAGATTCGATATATGTGTGCTGTTACTCATGATGCTCTTACAAATACCACAAGATGTGCTTATCTGAAGAAATCGTAGGTTTTTCGCAAGTACTCTATAGTTAGCTGATTTTTCCGTTTACTTGGGTTTCGGAGACTATGTCTGTAAGGTGGGGCATTTTGCATGGAAATAAAGTTTTTTAGGTCTAAGTCTGGTGGTTCAGTCATCACGAGCTCCCAGGCTCTTCGACCACTCTAGAGTCCCATTCTTTAGGCCTGCGCAAAATTCCTTATTCTTGAACAAAATGCGTTTCCTACAGCAATCCTCACCTTACTAGAAAAGCCTTATTTTCTTTCCTTAATTTCTGTATTTTTGTTTATCTATTCACTCACTGAGTAATAAATAGATGGCGCTATGTAAGGCAACTTTTTAAGGAAGAGTGTTGTCACTTGGGATGTGGTGGAGAAATTAATACGGAAAGATTGGCTAGATCCTGTAAATGGTGAGCCAATGACGGAGGATGACATCATTGAGCTTCAAAGAGGAGGTACGTTTTGGAAGGTGTTTTTGTTAGTGGAAACTATGTTTGTTGGGAGGGGAGGAGAACTGTAACGCCTATTCTTCTGCTCGTCTGCGCTTTCGTCGCTGTCAAACTAACTTCCTGCACGTTTTTTCGTCAATAGAACGCAGAGGAGGGGGAAAGGGCGTGGCTTCAGTCTTGCCAGCTGGCCCCTTTGCTCAGATACCTTGCCGCCGTGAAAATATTAGTCAAAGGATATGTGAGGTACTTCTGGTCGGCTTAGGGAGAGAGGGTTCGTGGCTGGCTTTTTGTGCTCAGTCTAACCTAACTGAATGTGAACTGATTCAAAGAATCAATTGCCTTTTCAGGTACTGGTTATGCAGCAACAAATGAAGTGAAAGCAAAATTGATTCGGCCGCAGTTGGAATTACAGTGATCTCATTCATTCGTTATTAAAATAAAAGTGTCAGATTTATGTGTATAAAATCATCATTAAGTAGAAGGTTGCTGCAAAATTTGGGAAGGTCGACTTAGTGGCTAATTTTGGAAGCTGGATATCATTCCAATGGCGATAAATTTGATTGAAGGCGCATAACATGGAATCAGGTTGGAGGGTAAAATATGAGCCCGCGGAAGAAACAGTGAAAAATTATTCAATCCTAAGGAGGATTAAGTGATGTAGTGAACGTGCAGAGGTGCTGGAGTGCTCGTGGACAGAGCTGCGCTTCTTCTCATCGCCATTACAGTGGAAGGAGGGGTTCCAACCAATCCGAACATAACGCGCCAATTGCTGCAACCGACTCACACCCCCACGACCAGATAAATTGTTCTCTACGGGTGGGAAAAATAAAAGAAGAGAATGAACCAAGCTGTAGCGGTGTTAACGGTGGTAGACCGACATCGATTTCTAGGTTCTAGCACGGGCACGATTTCGACCTTGACCGGAAGCTGGTGGTTGAAAGCACGGCTAGAATAACTTGGGCAGATCATCGGGGGGGGGGGGGGGCATAACTTAGTCGTGGAGCATGGAAAGTGATAGCGCACCCGAAGAGAGATATGAGGGAGGTTGTCATTCGATCACACTTTCTCCCATCCGGTGCTGACTACTGCGTAAGAAGTGGTTCCCTTTTAAGACCTAACTCGTTTCAGATAAGACCTGAGCAGGTATGGTTGACAGTGCTTGATTACGATCAACACCAAAATCGGTTGTATACATCTCACTTTTGAATGCACAATCGATCTACATCCCTGGTGAGTGATCCATAAGACCAGCCATGTCGGCTCGTTGGGGATCTCCAGCGAGTAGGGGGTCGTAGTTAGTCTGGAGGGGAGGTGGATCGTGTTCGCTTCTGAGGAAGAAGTTTTCCGCGTTCCAGCTGACTTTCTCAGGGGGAATTTCGCCTTTGACGTGCCATACCGCTCCTGCTCGACAGCATTTTTTTTAGAGAAAGTGGTTAGGTGGATACAGTGAGTTGGGGAAATTTAGGAAGATGGTAGGCAGGGTGGATGAGAAGCCGTACTAGAGGCAGGAATAATTTTCGGGGCGCCCGTTACGTCGAGTTACGAAACAGGGCAGGACGTGTCGATGTTTTTAGGCTACTCGTCTTCTCCAGGTAGCATCTGGCCCTATAGGAAGGACCGACGGAAGAAGCTGCATTAACATGTCGGCGGGCATTCGTGACAGGATGCTAATCGGATTCAATAACAAGGCTTCCACGATCTAGCATCGATAGCTGGAAAACTAGACGTACGCAGGGCTATTTTCTATGTGTTGTCGCAGCTTGGGTCTCCAGACCCACGATTTCCTTTTGCTCAACGGCCCTTAACTGTCACTGTCTGAGTAAGGGTCATGTCAGCATGGCACGTTGTACGCTGGGGATTCCCGGCGCGGGTTCGGTCGCTGGAGAAGGGGAGGAGAGTCGTATTTGGCCTTTTGAAACATATTCTTGATAGTTGGTTTTCCTGTTTCACGCGCGCTGTCCAAATCGTTGGATACTCCTATTTAGGTGGGGAGGGGAAGGGTTGTATCTAGCTTCAGGAAAACTCTCCCAGTTGATTTCGCGAGGTTTCGTGGTTCCAGAGATGTTCCACATAAGCCCGACCCCCCTCCATTGAAAGGATTTTTTCTTGGAAAACTGGAAAAGTGGTAGGAACTTGGGAAAAGTCAGTAAGATGGTAGTCGCACCAACGACCCCTCCCTTCCCCATCCTAGCTAGCCCTCCGAATCATTGGGAGCTGCAAATAGTGCCCTCAACGACAGGACGTGCCCTGCATGTAAAAGCCTCGGTACGGTCCCCAGTCCCTAACAGTTCCTACGCACTCTGCTCGACCTCTGAGTAACATATCTGGAGCCTCGATTACGCTGTGGGCGGTTGGAATTCTGTTACCAAAGGCATGCAACGAACGTGCATCGGAATGTGTAATTAAAGTGAGTCAGAAGTGATGACAAAGCGTTATCGAGCCCTTCTGATGTCCATCCTGCAGTGCTCCCGTCTAATGCTTCAATTTTTAGCAGAACCCTGAAGGACCTCTTTGGCTGTTCCCAAGGCGTTTATTTGTGGATCGAAGGTCAAACTTGGCTTCTCCGTCTCCGCTCAGGTGATTCATAATCACAAAAGCAACGAGGCGATTCTATTGCGAATCGATGACGAGACAACGTCGGATCGTGGTTTCTTCTCTTTCTTCTGCCAAGTGGGGCGGCCCAGGCTTAGGGCCAAAAAAATACGAATATTTGGTTGTTTGTTGAGAGTGTTTCTAGATCATAGCATTTGGCACACCTTGATGCCTTTGCCTTTGGACCTGACTATCGTTAGGGTCCCCTTTGTTGAAAAGATTGTTCAGACTATCTATTTTCTGTACAATGCCTATTTTCTCATATTTTGCGGCATCAGTAATCTCGAGTTCCTCTGTTCGTATAACCTCGGCATTATCGTTAACTTGACGCGATTCTTTTGTTTTTTGTCCGCGGGTTTTCAGGTGGAACTTTTTAGTATCACCTGATGTTTCGACAACGTCGTCGTCCCCAGAGGCCCAAACATGGTCCAGGATTTGAAATTTGACCCTCTAACCATCACACGCTAGAGACGAGGCTCCATCCTTGCTCTCTTTCTTTCTTTTTTCATTAGCTAACCAAACAGCTTATATCTCAATAAAGACTCCCTCAATTTGAACAAATGAACAAAAATGGGGTAATTGCAATAAATTATGAAGCAATGGGACAGTTTGGCAAGGGGGGGGGGGCATTTCGCACATCTGCTACTCTCCAACAACGTGTCGAGCCATCAAGAGAGCTATTCAATGAGCTTACAACAGCAGACAGGTTTCAGCATTGTAGCTCGACGAGCTTGCTCCAGCTTCGCAAGAGTTCACACGTTCCACCAGAATGAGACTTCTAAACTGGAACTACTGAAGCAACGAAAGTGCGAAATGCTCCTCCCCCCGCGTCGCCGAGCAGCGCTTGAAGCAGCTCGCCTATTTCCTACTTTCTTCATTAATTCTATGAGTTTTATCAACAGAATGCTCAATTTTGGGCAATCTCTGAACCTTTAATAGCTAAATGTGATGCGCACTCTGTTATACGGAGCTTAGAGGCTATTCAAGTGGCCCGCTAAATCAATGCTTGAATTAAAGCTCATTTATATTTTTGTCACGCTATTGGACACTTCAGAGTTCCCATTTGGTGGCGCTATCTTCTTCTCCGAATTCTCAGTCTATACCCTATATAAGCATTAGTTAAGATTGGTTGAGCATTTTCTATTTGAGTTAGCTGTCCATTCGCGTTACCTCCCAGTTGACCATTTTTCTTGCTTACCATAAGTGATAAGGGCGCTCTTCGACTTGGGAGGAGCATTTTGCGTCCCAGCTAGTTCATGTTAACTAACAAGACTACCTTTGGTGAGACCTGTTAACTCTTGAGAATCTACCAAATGATGCAAATG